TGGTTTGGGAAGACTCCCTGGAGAAGGGAAAGGCTACCCACTCCAGTATTCTGGCCTAGAGAATTTTACAGACTGTATAATCGATGAGGCCACAAAGAGTCAGACATGACTGAGTGACTTTCACTTCCATTATCAGTTTATTGTTCTTTTTGAGGAACCAGACTGGTTTCATTGATTTTTTTCCATTGTTTTTAGTTTACAATTTTGTGGACTTCTGATCTATATATTTCTTCCTCTGCTTGCTTTGAGTTAACACGTTTTATTCTAATTTATTCAGATGGAAACTTAGTGTGACTTGAAGTCTTTCTTTTTAGCTTTTAATACTATAAGTTTTCCTATAAGTGTTGCTTTAATTATATCCCACAACTTTGTATATGATGGATTTTTAATTTTATTATGTTCAACATTTAAAATTTTCTTTTGAGACTTCAAAAGAAAGTTGTTTGGCTTTCAAGTGGTTGGATTTTTCTGTTATCTTTTTGTATTAGCTTTAGTTTCTTGTTTAATTAGTATTAGTTTCTGGTTTAATTCTATTTCTGTCAAAGAATACTTCCACTAACTTAATTCTTTTAAACTGCTTAAGATGTGTTTCATGACAGAGTGGAAGTAGGCTGTAAGTTGACCATAAAGTGTGAGATTATGGTTTTGAACAGGTGTAGAGGGAAAAAAAGGAGCTCATAGTCATTCAAGCATTGTGTAAACAGCATAGGATGAGCAAGGATTATTTTGAAGAGTAGAGACTAATAAATTTATCTGAAGCAAAAGACTCATGTAGAAGAGATATTGGTAGTATGTAGTGAGACTAGAAAGATAAACTGAATCTAACTTATATAGAGACTGTAATAGCAGGCAGAGGGATTTAGATTTTATTCAGTGGGCAAAGAGGAGGTGATAAAAGCTTAAAACAGGCAAAGTATATGTTCAAAGCTGTAATTTAGAATAATTACTGTGATGAGCAGGAAGAGATTGAAGGCAGGGAGACTAGGTAGAAACTATATTGAAGGTGATCATTTAAGAGCATGAATCAAAGAAGTGATGTGGTCTATTTATGTAAACAAAATCCTCAGTGATTGATTGGTTCAGCTAGAGTAGAGAGAGCAATTCGAGAAAATGGTGGGACCCTTGTCATGCAATGAGGCAGGTTTCTCCAGTGCATACAGGGAAAGATTTTAGCAATGCTTCTTCCTGAAAAGTAAAACTCCAGTTTTAGTCTTTCTGAAAAGAAATGTGACTGAACACCCCCCTTCTATTTCTGTTCTTTGGCTCCCCAAACCCTATTGCTCCAGGGGCTCTGACCTTTCCTTAGTTGCCTGGCACCCAGGCAAGTTCTTAGCCATCAAATTTCAATCCAGGTGGCCTCCATAAATATCTCAACAGAATTTATTTTCTTTAATTTTCTTTGGCCTAGCTTGAGAATTTGCTGATTGGGAGACTGTTTGGAGGCCAGTATGCCCAAAGATGGATAGCCACATCTGCTAGCCATTTGGATTAATTATTACACCTGTGTCATAAAACCTGCATTAATAAAGAGGTGGCAAGGAAACTGATACTGCAGCTTAGACAGGACTCTCATTCCTTCCCAACATTCTGTCCCCATCAATGGCATTCTACCATCCTGTTGTCCTGGTGCATCACCAGGAGTGTTACAGCTTACTTCCTCCAGCGCCTCTGTGTCTAGTGTGTCTCTAAGTCCTTCTGTTTCTTTATGTGAAAAACCTTTCAGAACCATTGTTTCCAACTCCTTCTAGTCTATTTTCTAGTCTGAATCTTCTCTAATCATATGACACCTGGAATATTACAAATCATCCCTCTTGCCAGCTGTCTGCCCCTTCTGTCTGCCATTTATACAGTAGAAAGACTCTTCCTTCTCAAACATTTTGATCAAGTTACACTCCAGGGCTTTGACTGGTAAGCATGAATCTCATCTTTGATCTATTGATAGGCTTTCAGAAATGTACATGGTTTTCTTTTGTCTTTTTTTAAAAAAAATCAATTACAAATGCTTCATGTGGGCCTTTAAGATTGTCCATCAGCATCGCTCAGCATTCTTGTTTTTATTTATGATTGATCTTTAACCCACAATTACTTTCTGCCTCAGCCAAGCAAATGGGCTTGTTCTCTCCTGTGCACAAGTGTTTGACTCTTGGCTGCAGGCTGCTTCAGTACCCCTAAATAGCTTCCCCCTCTCTTTCCATCAGGTTGCTCTGCAAAATGCTCTCTCGTGGTCATACATGACTCAACACTCAGACCCCAATGTATGGATTTCATATTAATAAGAGATCTACAGCATTATGGGAAGCTGTTGAGAATTCAGTACATGGAGGTCCAGAGTAGGTACTTAAAATGAAGAAGGGGAAAGAAGGGGAATAGCTTTTATATCTTTAACGTAGGCTGAGGTTGATTAAAAAAAAAAAAAAGACCACACTTCATAATGCATAAATCCCTGGCAGAAGTTTTTTCCATGTTGTAGAACCACTTGACATGTTTGAGGAAGTGAGGGAGAGAGCAGGCATTGGCCTAGGCAATCAGATCTGGAAAATTAATGATGTCAATAAATGAGGAGGTGGATATTACAATCTCATATTCCTTATGATGCATTTATATCTATTTATACATAGCTAGCTAACTAGCTAGATAAATATACATACATCATATATCATATATGTATAACATATATCTTGAAATATATATTTATATATGTATGTATATATAAAATAGGAAGCTTAGAGGAATATCAATGTGCTGAATAGCACTTCTCTCAATTTCTTGCCCCTTCCAATGAATTTAAATTTTTAAAGCCATTAATGTACAATTATAAAGTGTAGTAGTGAAACTTCATTCATTTTTGAGATTAGGAACAGATAATAACAGTATTGTAGGCTGACACAGAGCCTCTTTTGGTTTTCCTTTCTCTTTATTATTTTCAGTAGAGTGTATCATTTAGAGAAGATGAAAGTAAGTAACTTGGCATTCTTACTAGGTTAAAGGTGTAATCCTTTATATTAGGAGAGAATATACAATTCTGGCTAACTCTGTTTCATACTGAGAAATTGTTTTCTTCCCTTTCCTCTCACATGTAGTTTTTTTTTTTTCACTTTTACATCTCTGCCTTCTCTCTTCTTCATCCCCCTTATTCATTCTTTTTCTCTCCCCTACTTTCTGAAACACATTGCTCTTAAATGTAAAGGGAAAAAAATCATTAATCACACTGCTGGATACAGTCCTTATTAGATGGCTGTAGTTGCTAAAGGAGGTCTGTTTAGCATCAGTCGATTTTTCATTTCCTTTCAGTGGGGACAGTGAGCTGTTTTGAGTCCCTAGGGCCAGCTAGTATGAATGCAGGTATTGAGTGTTTAGGAGGAGACTGTTAGAACAAGTGCTGGAGATACAATAGCATTTAAATTAATCTAGTACCTGGATTGGCATCCTTCAGCTCCTCCTTTCATTTCTCTGGCTTAAAGACAGAGTTTACAGGCTATGTATTGGTCAGGAATATCTCTGCACTGTCTTGATTCCTTTCCATATAATTTATTTATTCTCCTCAGTTGAAAATCACCTACCTGAATTTTAAATTTAAACTCTACAATTTCAAAAGGATTGAAACACATGACCAATTTTTCCAGCGAGATACTTGAGGTCTGAAACAGCAGAGGAAACGAGGAATGTAGGCTTCAAACTTTTAGAATGAAATCTCTGTTGTCTCTAAGGACTTAGGAGATGAAGTTCTATCAGAGTGGAAGACTAAAAATTATTGCCATATTTTGAAATTGCATGGGGCAACAGTCTCAAAAAATAGGTTTGAAATCTCTTCAGGGTAAAACTGAATCTCACATAGTATTTCAGGGTCCAGGCTTGTCAGGCAGTCAATAAAAAAGCAATATACAAGAAGCATAATATAATATGGGGACCAAGTGGGATTTGTTTAATCCAAGCTTGTCTTAATACTCAGAAAAATCAACTAATATAATAACAGAAGAAAGCAGGGGTAAGAACTTATTTATCTCAATAGATGAAAGCATTTGATAAAACTCAACTTATGTTTATGTGAAATGATCTCAGCAAACTAGGAATAGCAGAGAGTTTTAATCTGATAAAGATCATCTACAGAAACTCTACAGTTAGTAGTTTAAATGTTGTGACATTGAGAAATTCACCCTGAAGTCAAAAACAAAGCAACAATATCTCTCACTACTTCCATTCACTGTGGTACTCCAGTGTAATAAGGGAAGAAAAAAATGTAAAAGGTGTGACGGTAGAAAGAAAGAATCAAAACTTCTTTTATTCATAAATGATGTTCTTTTATATTTTTAGCAAACCTATAATTTGAATCAATGAGTTAACTTAGGAAGATCATTACTAGTTAAGGAAGTCATATAAGATGACTCTATAGATATCAATTGTACTTACTTCTAGTGCCTAAGAGCAATTTCAATTCAGTTCAGTTGCTCAGTCATGCCCAACTTTTTGTGATCCCATGGACTGCATCACGCCAGGCCTTCCTGTCCATCACCAACTCCCGGAATTTATTCAAACTCATGTCCATTGAGTCAGTGATGCCATCCAACCATCTCATCTTCTGTCATCCCCTTCTTCTCCCACCTTCAGTCTTTCCAGCATCAAGGTCTTTTCAAATGAGTCAGCTCTTTGCATCAGGTGGCCAAAGTATTGGAGCTTCAGCTTCAGCATCAGTCCTTCCAATGAATATTCAGGACTGATTTACTTTAGGATGGACTGGTTGGATCTCCTTGCAGTCCAAGGGACTCTCAAGAGTCTTCTCCAACATCACTGTTAAAAAGCATTAATTCTTTGGTACTCAGCTTTCTTTATAGTCCAACTTTCACATCCAGACATGACTACTGGAAAAACCATAGCCTTGACTAGAGGGACCTTTGTTGGCAAAATAATGTCTCTGCTTTTTAATATGCTGTCTAGTTTGTTCATAACTTTTCTTCCAAGGAGCAAATCTCTTTTAATTTAATGGTTGCAGTCACCATCTGCAGTGATTTTGGAGCCNACAGTCAGTGGTAACCAGGGACACCCACCTGTGACAGTCAGTGGTAACCAGGGACACCCACCTGTGACAGTCAGTGGTAACCAGGGACACCCACCTGTGACAGTCAGTGGTAACCAGGGACACCCACCTGTGACAGTCAGTGGTAACCAGGGACACCCACCTGTGACAGTCAGTGGTAACCAGGGACACCCACCTGTGACAGTCAGTGGTAACCAGGGACACCCACCTGTGACAGTCAGTGGTAACCAGGGACACCCACCTGTGACAGTCAGTGGTAACCAGGGACACCCACCTGTGACAGTCAGTGGTAACCAGGGACACCCACCTGTGACAGTCAGTGGTAACCAGGGACACCCACCTGTGACAGTCAGTGGTAACCAGGGACACCCACCTGTGACAGTCAGTGGTAACCAGGGACACCCACCTGTGACAGTCAGTGGTAACCAGGGACACCCACCTGTGACAGTCAGTGGTAACCAGGGACACCCACCTGTGACAGTCAGTGGTAACCAGGGACACCCACCTGTGACAGTCAGTGGTAACCAGGGACACCCACCTGTGACAGTCAGTGGTAACCAGGGACACCCACCTGTGACAGTCAGTGGTAACCAGGGACACCCACCTGTGACAGTCAGTGGTAACCAGGGACACCCACCTGTGACAGTCAGTGGTAACCAGGGACACCCACCTGTGACAGTCAGTGGTAACCAGGGACACCCACCTGTGACAGTCAGTGGTAACCAGGGACACCCACCTGTGACAGTCAGTGGTAACCAGGGACACCCACCTGTGACAGTCAGTGGTAACCAGGGACACCCACCTGTGACAGTCAGTGGTAACCAGGGACACCCACCTGTGACAGTCAGTGGTAACCAGGGACACCCACCTGTGACAGTCAGTGGTAACCAGGGACACCCACCTGTGACAGTCAGTGGTAACCAGGGACACCCACCTGTGACAGTCAGTGGTAACCAGGGACACCCACCTGTGACAGTCAGTGGTAACCAGGGACACCCACCTGTGACAGTCAGTGGTAACCAGGGACACCCACCTGTGACAGTCAGTGGTAACCAGGGACACCCACCTGTGACAGTCAGTGGTAACCAGGGACACCCACCTGTGACAGTCAGTGGTAACCAGGGACACCCACCTGTGACAGTCAGTGGTAACCAGGGACACCCACCTGTGACAGTCGGTGGTAACCAGGGACACCCACCTGTGACAGTCGGTGGTAACCAGGGACACCCACCTGTGACAGTCACGGAGCCCAGGCACACCCCACCTGTGACGTGTTGGTAACCAGGCACACCCCACCCGTGACAGTCAGGGTGCCCAGGGACAGCCGCCTGTGACAGTCGGTGGTAACCAGGCACACCCCACCCGTGACAGTCAGGGTGCCCAGGGACAGCCGCCTGTGACAGTCAGTGCTAACTAGGGACGGCCCTCCTATGACAGCCACGGGGCTTGCTCCATCCTCCCCTGTCTGAGCTGACCCCATGCCCGTCCCCTCATCCCAGGCCCCCGGCCCCTGTGCTCTCTGGCCTCACATCACGTCTGTGCCCACTTCTCAGTCTCCTCCTCAGGCTCTTCTCCTTTTAAGACCGTCAGTGTCACCAGGGCGGACTCAGGTCTGTGTGGCTCATTGCTTCCTCCCAGCACCCCAGGCCGGAGACTCGCTGCTGCCCCACGCAGTGGGCATCCAGCCCCCCAAGCCTCCCCTCTCCATGTTCCCTGTGGTCCTCTCCTCTGCCCTGCCTGCCCACCCCTCCCTGCTGGACCCGGCCGACTCACTCTCTCTGTGGCCTTGCCAGGGCGCCCACCCCGTCGTCAGTGTCGGGGCCCTGCTCAGAGCCCGTGATCGCTCATCCAGGGGCTTCTTTGGTTGCTGTCTCACCATGGGACGGTGTGCTCTGTGAAGTGAAGGACATCCAGGCTGTGCTTCCTCTGTCCTCATCACTGGCCAGCATGGGTTCTGTGATGCACAAGCAAAGAGCAAGGGAAGGGCCGTGTGCACCCCCACCATCACTGCAGCGTGCACCCCTCATCTCTGTAGTCTGTACCCCCTAACCTCGGCAACATGTGCCCCCGTCTTTGCAGTTGGTGAGAAGGAAGCTGCCTGGGTTGCATCTTGGCCTCAGCTCCCACCATATGACCTGAGGGGTCACTGCCCTCTCGGGGATTCACTTCATCCATCAAATGGGGATAATAACAGCAACCACCTCATCAGAGGATTGTTGAAAACATGAGTCAAGTATTCAGCACAGTGCCTGGCACACAGTAAGTGCTCCATAAATGCCACATAGGATTATTTTTTGCCTTTCATACTGTTCATGGGGTTCTCAAGGCAAGAATACCAAAGTGGTTTGCCATTCCCTTCTCCAGTGGACCACATTCTGTCAGACCTCTCCACCATGACCCATCCTCTCAGGTGACCCCACACGGCATGGTTTAGTTTCATTGAGTTAGACAAGACTGTGGTCCTGTGATCAGATTGGCTAGTTTTCTGTGATTGTGGTTTCAGTGTGTCTGCCCTTTGATGCCCTCTCGCAACACCTACCATCTTACTTGGGTTTCTCTTACCTTGGACCTGGGGTATCTCTTTACGGCTGCTCCAGCAAAGCGCAGCTGCTGCTCCTTAAGTTGCCTACCTTACTTAAAAGAGATTGTTAAATAAGATTAAAAATTAACAGTAATATTTTGTTTACTTGAAATTAATCCAAATATAATGACACAAAAATGACAGATACTTACCGAAAGAGGAAATCCAGATGGCCGTTGGACATTTGGAAGGTTGAACAATCTCACTATTAATCAGGGAAATGCAAACTAAGACAATAATGAAATGCCACCTCTCAAGTGCTTCTGTAAAGATCTATGTGGGGAAATATGTAAGCACTAAGGATAACTAATGGGAACATAAATCTGCAATGAAATATGTCAGTATGTAGTAGGGTGAACATATGCATATAGGGCTCAAATTTTACACTATAATCATAAAGAAAACTATTGCACTTGTGTACCAGAACACAGTTAAAATGCTAGTGTACTCAGGATGACCCTACCTCCTAATTTGCCTTGAACAGTCCTAGGATGTGCTTATTATATTAAGGTGATTATTTTTAACTTTGTATTTTATATTGGAATATGGCCAATTAACAAACAGTGTTGTACAAACAAGCAATGTGATAGTTTCAGGTGAACAGCAAAGGGGTTCAGCTGTACATACACATGTATCCATTCTCTCCCAAACTCCCCTCCCATTCAGGCTGCCATATAACATTAAGCAGAGTTCCGTGTGCAGTACAGTAGGTACTTTTTGCTTATCCATTTAAAATATACTAGTGTGTATATGTCTGTCCCAAACTCACTAACAGTTATCCCTTCCCCCCCATCCTTCCCACTGGCAACAATAGGTTTGTTTTCTAAGTCCATGAGTCTGTTTCTCTTTTGTAAGTAAGTTTATTTCTATGATTTCTTTTTAGATTCCACCTATAAAGGGTGTCATAGGATATTTCTCCTTCTCTGTCTGACTTGCTGTCTCAGGATGACAATCTCTAGGTCCATCCGTGTTACAACAAATGGCATTATTTCATTCTTTTTAATAACTAGGTGACACCCCCTTGTATATATGTACCACATCTTCTTTATCCATTTCCCTGAACATTTAGGGTGCTTTCTTGTCTTGGCTGTTGTAAACAGGGCTGCAGTGAACATTNTATCATGTCATCTGCAAACAGTAACATTCTAACTTCTTTTACAATTGGGATTACATTTCTTTCTTTTTCTTCTCTTATTGCCATTGCTACAACTGCCGAAACTATGTTGGATAAAAGTGGTAAGAGTGGACATCCTTGTCTTGTCCATGATCTTAGAGGAAATGTTTTCAACTTTTCCCCATTATGATGTTTGCTGTAGATGTGTTATATATAGCTTTTATTATGTTGAGGCATGTTCCTTCTGTGCCAACTTTCTGGAGAATTTTTATCATAAATGGGTACTGAATTTTGTCCAAAGCTTTTTCTGCATCTATTGGGATGATCATACGGTCTTTAATCTTCAATTTGTTGATGGTGGTATATCACATTGATTGATTTACAGATACTGAAAATCCTTGCATCCCTGGGATGAATTCCACGTGATCATTGTGTATGATCTTTTTAATGTGTTATTGGATTCATATTGCTAGTATTTTGTTGAGGATTCTTGCATCTCTATTCATCAGTGATATTGGCCTGTAATATTTTTGTGGTATTTTTTTGGTATCTTTGCCTGGTTTTTGTATCAGAATGATGGTGGCCTCATAGAATGAGTTTGGAAGTTTCCCTTCCTCTGCAATATTCTGAAACAGTTTCATAAGGATAGGTGTTAACTGTTTTCTAAATGTTTGATGGAATTTGCCTATGAAGCCATCAACTCCTTGACTTTTGTTTGTTGGGAGTTTTTTAATCAGAGTTTCAATTTCAGTGATTATGATTGGTCTGTTCATATTTTCTGTTTCTTCTTGGTTCAGTTTTGGGAGACTGTACCTTTTTAAGAACTTGTCCATTTCTTCCAGGTTGACCATTTCATTGGCATACAGTTACATGTAGTAGTCTCTTATGATCCTTTATATTTCTGTGGATTCAGTTGTAACTTCTTCTTTTTCATTGTTAATTTTATTGATTTGAGTCATATACCTTTTTTCTTGATGAATCTGGCTTAGGGTTTATCAATTTTGTTTATCTTTTCAAAGAACCCATTTTTTCATTTCATAGATCTTTGCAGTTGTTTTGTCTCAATTTCATTTATTTCTACTCTGATCTTTATTATTTCTTTCCTTCTACTAACTTGAGGTTTTATTTTTTCTTCTTTCTCTAGTTGTGTATGGTTAGGTTGTTTATTTGAGGTTTTTCTTATTTCTTGAGATAAGGTTGTATTGCTATAAACTTCCCTCTTAAAACTGGTTTTGCTTCATCCCACAGGTTTTGGACTATTGTGCTTTCATTTTAATTTGTCTCTAGGTATTTTATTTATTCCCATTTTGATTTATTCAGTAATCCATTCTGTACTTAGCATATGTTTATGTTTTTTATAATTTTTTTCTTGTAGTTTATTTATAATCTCATAGCAATATGATCAGGAAAGATGTATAATATGATTTCAATTTTCCTAAATTACTGAGGCTCACCTTGTGGTCCAGCATGTGGTCAATCCTGGAGAGTGTTCCCTGTGCACTTGAGAATAGTGTGTAGTCTGCTGCTTTTAGATAGAATGTTCTGTAAATGTCAGTTGGGTCCATCTGGTCTAATGTGTTATTTAAGGTCTGTGTTTCCTCATTAACTTTCTGTCTGGATGATCTGTCCATTGATGAAAGTAGGGTGTTAAAGTTCCTCATGATAGTTGTGTTACTGTTGATTTCTCCCTTTGTGATTGTTAATATTTGCCTTATATTGGAGGTGGTCCCATGTGGGGTGCATGTATATCTTCTTCTTGGTTTAGATCCTTTCATTAATGTAGTGTCCTTTGTCTCTTATAACCATCTTTGTTTTGTAGTCTTATTTTGTCTGATAACAGTGTTGCAACTCCAGCTTGTTTTTGACTTCCATTTTAGTGGGATAGTTCCTCCCATCCCCTTACTTGCAGTGTGTAAGTGTCCCTAGATTGGAGGTGAGTCTCTTGTAGACAGCCTACATATGGGTCTTGTTTTACAATCCATCCAGCCAATCTGTCTTTTGGTTGATGCATTTAATCCATTTACATTTAAGGTAATCATGGATATGTGTGGTCTTACTTCCTTTTTCTGAATAGTTTGGGGTTTATTTTTATAGGCCTTTTCCCTCTCTTGTTTTTCCTGCCTAGAGAAGTTCCTTTAGCGTTTGTTGTAAAGCTGGTTTGATGGTGCTGAATTCTCTTCAAATTGTCTGTGAAGCTTTTGATTTCTGTTAAATCTGAATGAGAATCTCACTAGGTAGAGTATTCTTGGTTGCAGATTCTTCCCTATCATCACCTCAAATATATCATGCAACTCCCTTCTGACTTGCATAATTTCTCCTGAGAAATCAGCTGATATCTTTGTGGGAGTTCCCTTGTATGTTATTTTTTGTTTTTTTCTTGTTACTTTTAATATTTTGTCTTTAATTTTTGTCAGTTTGATTACTCTTTCTTGGTGTGTTCCCCCTTCGGTTTATCCTACCTGGGACTGTTTGTCTTCCCTGGACTTGGCTGACTATTTCTTTTCCCATGTTAGGGAAGTTTTAAGCTATTATTTCTTCAAATATTTTCTTGAGTCCTTTGTCTCTCTCTTCTCTTTTTGGGACCCC